CGCAATTGGGTGATAGTACAGGGGGTCTAACCGCAATTAGCCCGATCAAAAACCTGATTTGAATTGTTTTTGAAACATAAAGTAAATCTAAAGGTTTTGATTTTGAATAAAAGATGAAAACGAAGTGATAAAGAAATGAACTAATCTAACATACCATCTTCTTCAACCACAAGTAAAAATTGCCTTGTTCCCCCACCTACCCCGAAATAGTGTTTCTTTCCTGCCACATATACAACTCCCGAAGGCCTCAATAAACACTGCAATATACGTTTTTACCAAATCAAAGTGGTTAGATATTAGAATAAGAGAGAGATTTAGCAAAATTTGTTGCACTGTGATCTAACCTTCTTGATAAGGTCATATAGACTTTGTAGAGAGGAAAGCTCATACACAGTTTCAGCCATCAAAATAACATCATAACCATCAGATGAGCTATTGTCTAATGTGTTCTGCTGTTCATTAGAGCACTTTGGTAATAGGAGCTTGTGAACCTCGCTCCAATCGCCAGAAAAGTAGCGGACATCAGAAGAGATGTTCGCCTCTGTTTTATTTGATACTTGCTCCAGGTTAGCTTTTACATTTGGTATTGTAAGAAACTTAAGGACTTCAGCATTGAAGTCTTGAAAATGGACAGTAGTTGCACCCTGGTTCAAAATATTAAGGAGCATATACATCAATTAGGCCAATATATATTAAATATTTCACAAGACTTATATTCTTACCTCAATAAGTGTAAAGATCCCAGGAAGCCCATGACCACATCCAAGCTGATAAGGAAGAATTCATTGGTCAGTTATAGTCCCAATGATTCGAACATACATTTTTTTTAGTTTGAACAGCAAAAAATTGTATTAAAACGTTTCATCTTCAATATGAATACAATCACTTTCTCAAGCAAAGAAGGTGATCTCTTGATGTACTGTCACTTCAAACCCATTATTAAGTTGAATGTGTTTACTCTAATTCAAATACATTTAGTAAAATCCAACAAAAGTATTCAGGGATCAAAATAAGATGAGTTCCAACATACCCACAATGGGTGGTACTCAACTGAGGTAAAATTCCTACACTCAGCTCTCAGTGTACAATGCTTGTCACTATGTCAATTTTTTTAATTCCTTTTTGAGCCAAAACTATTCCAGTGGTGGTTGTCTGTAAGACAAATGAATTGAAAAACTATGTCTGTAAGAGTAATTAACTGAAAAATCATTTCACATACTCTCTGGAGTCACAGATGCAGGAGGAATGATTAATTTCTCAACGAGAGAGAGGGGGAAGGGAAGGAGCGAGATGCAATGTGTGATGCATTAGTCTGAAAATTGGTCTCCAACAGTACCAAACATCTCTGATGTTTCGAATTTTCAATAAAATGACTACATATATATGGACCAAGTGCATCTTGAGAAAAGAGAGGAGACGATGGGGACTACAAGCTGGAAGAAAGAATTTTGGTTTTGGGCAATAGAGAAAATTAACAGAAGGAAAACATACGCAGTATTTAATTCATAAACTCAAAGCTGAATAAACATGATCATGGAATGGCCTTTCTATAGGCTTCACTGTACATAGAGTGCGGCTCGATTCCGAACCATAATCGAGCAACTAAACAGAGCTTCTTTAACATAACAAGTTCGAATATTAAAAGTTGATTATTAACTAAAACAAATGGAAATAGAAGCTGCCATCCTAATTAGCTAAATATTAAAATTATTTAAATTTCTTATTAAAATTAGATAAATAAATTAATTCACAATTTTAGTTTTGTAATGCACCATAGTTGATGCCATCTTGCTCATGTTCCTTCAAACTACATAGCTTCTGTGTATTGTACAATTACCAAAGTCCTAACCTTTTTACTCTTCAAATCAAAAATAGATAGATACCACCAATTCGAAATGTAATCATATTGAAACAAATGAACTCAAAAAATAAACATAATCAAAGCAACAAACCTCTAATACTCTCTTTCCTTTGATCATCAACCGACTTTCTTGGACCTCAAAATGAAGCGCCTTCACCAGATCAATTGACCCTTCCCATAGTTTCAGGCCCCCTAATAAATAAACTTAAACTTCTTATTAAAAAGAAAACGCTCTTTCTCTCAATTCTAACAATGACAAACGCACCTTCGTATTTACCGGGTACTAAATCCGAATTGGACACTCCAAAGACATCAAAGGTGCTAACTTTTCCCTAACACGAACCCCAAAACAACACAAAATTAACAAATTTAACAGTTAAATTCAATAATCTTTAAAATTCGGTGAATAACGCGATTACCTTGAGAAGTGTAAGCCCGCTGGCGATCTCAATAGGATCTGCATTCGAATCAGCAGGTGATTTTTCCTAGTTTTCTCAAAGAAACAATATTTTGATGAAATAAAGAGAACCCAGATAAAATAGGGGGCAAAATAAGAAGAAAATGAAGACTCGAGTGGTGATTACTACCTCTGAAGGGATCACTTCGGTGGGAGGAGGAAGGGGCTCTGTGGGTTTGGATGGCTGGTCGAAGAACCCGAATCCGAACCCTGAACCCAATTGATTGGCATTCGATAGAGTGAAGAACGGGTATGTTTCCTGCAATGAGTAATGAAACAAAAAAGTTAAAAAATCTGATTTTTGTAAGAAATTATAGGAGAGGAGGGACGAAAAGAGTGACCTTTGGCATCTCCGCCATGGCTGATTCTTTGAGGGTTTCGCAGTAGAAAACTAGGGTTTATGCGTAACTGACATCTTTCAGTGGATTTTTGATAATAGTCCCTGACATCTTTAATATTTGGACCGTGGCCCCCCAGATTATTTAAATTGCAATTAGGTCCCTTACATCTTATTAATTGTTTTGAATTAGTCTCAGTGTTAGAATTTCCACTGTGGGATTATATTTATAATCACGGGGGTTAAGATTTCGATTTGTTTGGGAGTTTTTTTTTTTTTTTTTTTTAAGGGAATCACGGGGGTTAAGATTTCGATTTGTTTGGGAGTTTTTTTTTTTTTTTTTTTGAAGGGTCTCATTCAGCCCCTATCAATGTAATTTTGACCCCTTTGACAAAGTTGTGTTAGAACGCACGTTAAGTAAAATAAGTTATATAAAGTAAAAGATTTTAAATGAGTTTGTAAAAGATGCTCTAACTGAGTTTACAATATATAAGGCTTGCAAGTATGACTAGCATCTATTATCCATTATTCTTATTTCAAGAAAGAGGCTCTTTTAGTCATGTGAATTTTTTTTTTAGAATTTAGAATTTCGAAAATGCTCTTATACAGGCAATGGAAAAACTAATGGAAACACCTCGCACTTAAGAAAAACAATGTAAATACCCTCACGCTTCAAACAATCAACAAAAAAAAAATTCTCATGATTGGAAATTTCCAAAAATTAAAAAAAAAAAACTTTAACAACCTTTCTCATGATCAAAATTACAAAAAAAAAAAAAAAAAAAACTCCGAGTTTACATTCAAAACTCTTGCGAGTATCATCACATCATATCATGATCTCAGACCTCATCTCCCGCCAAAAAACCCGCCGCCGCGAGACTACATAGCCAAACCATGATCCCTCCTCTCAAAGCCCGCCACGCTCCCCTCCCCTCCATTCACCTCCCAACCCCTCTCCCCCAACTCCTCCTTCCCACCCTCCTCCCTATGTCGACCTCCTCCGCCGCTTCGTCGGGCCCCACAAATCCCTCGCTCCCCAAACCCTCCACCTCGCCTTCATCAAGCTTGGCTTCACCCGCGACCTCTTCCTCTCCAACTGCCTTATAGCCCAGTATGCTGAATCCTCCAAGCTCGAACACGCCCACAATCTGTTTGACGAAATCCCCCAACGAAACGCCGTCTCCTATAACTGCCTCATTTCCGGCTACGCCAATGCCGGTCATCCCCAAAATGCCCTTAACTTGTTCAAATCGATGGTCTCTGATGGTTGCTTGCCTACTCATTTTACTCTCGCCGCCGCTCTTCGTGCGTGTCAGGATTGTGCGCCCGACAGGTTTGGATTTGGGGTTCAGGTTCACGGCTTGCTGGCAAAGACCCAGCATGCATCCGATACTGTTGTGTGCAATGCGTTGATTTCGATGTATGGGAGCTGTTGCTTGGAGTCTTCGAGCTATGCACATTGTGTGTTTGATGAGATGTTGACGAAGAATTTGATCTCTTGGAATTCGATTATTGGGGTGGATTCTCGCAGAGGAGACGTTGCTTCTGCGTTTGAGCTTTTCTCGGAAATGCAGGCGGAGGGTTTTGAGCCGAGCGAGCATACATTTGGGAGCCTGATTATCTCGACTTATGATTGTGGGCCTGGAAATTTCATTCTTGATCAGTTGCTTGCACGGGTCTCAAAGAATGGGTTTCTGAGCAATCTCTATGTGGGCAGTGCTTTGGTCAGTGCGTTTGCTAGGTTCGGAGTGTTTTATAAAGCAAGAGGAGTTTTCGTACAGATGAGCGAAAAGAATGCAGTATCTATGAACGGTTTGATTGTGGGATTGGTTAAGCAGAATCAAGGAGAAGAGGCTGTTGAGGTTTTTAGGGAGACCGGGGATTCAATTGAGATAAACTCTGATTCTTATGTAGTTCTTCTTAGTGCGATTTCAGAGTTCAAAGTGCCAGAGGAAGGAAGGAGGATGGGGAGAGAAGTTCATGGGTTTTTGATTAGGACCGGTTTGATTGGAATTAAGGTTGCAATTGAGAATGGGTTGGTTAACATGTACGCAAAATGTTGTGCTATTGAAGAAGCATGTTGGATTTTTGAACATATGCGTGTAAGGGATCAGATTTCCTGGAGTTCAATTATATCGGGTCTCGATCAAAATGGAATTTTTGAAGAGGCATTACTGAGATTTGGCGATATGCTCAGAACCGGCATCGTGCCTTCAAAATTTACATTAATCAGCTCATTGAGTTCCTCTGCAGGCTTGGGTCTCTTAAGTTCTGGAACACAAGTACACGCTGTTGCTATGAAATTTGGTCTTGACTTGGATGTTTCTGTGGCAAATTCGCTTCTTAAACTGTATGGTGAATGTGGAAGTAATTTAGATTGCTGGAAGGTATTCAATTCTATGTCTGATTATGACCTAGTTTCATGGAATTCTATGATTGGTTTGTTAGCCAAATCTGAGGAATCCTTGGATCGATCGGTTGGGGTTTTCTTAGATATGATGAGACGTGGATGGACGCCAAACAAAGTAACACTCATAAACGTTCTCTCTGCTTTATCTCCGCTTTCGGTTCTTGAATTAGGCAAGCAAGTTCATGCTCTAGTGCTGAAACGTTCAATTTCAGATAATAATACCATCGATAATGCCCTAATTTCTTGCTATGCGAAGTCGGGCGATATGGACTCCAGCGAGCAAATCTTTACAAGAATGTATAATAGGAGAGACGGTATGTCATGGAATTCTATGCTTGCAGGCTATGTTCAGAATGGTCTTCTGTCTAAAGCCATGGATTTTCTCTGGTTCATGATGCAAAATGATCAAAATATGGATTCATTCACATTTGCAACTGTTATAAGTGCTTGTGCCTCAATAGCGACATTAAATCGTGGGATGGAAATCCATGCTTTTAGACTACGGTCTCAGTTAGAATCAGATGTTGTTGTCGATAGTGCTCTTGTTGACATGTACTCAAAATGTGGAAGAATAGATTATGCCTCCAAGGCTTTCAGATTGATGCCTGTGAAGAACGAGTTCTCTTGGAATTCTATGATCTCGGGCTATGCTAGACATGGGCATGGTGAAAAAGCCCTAGAGCTTTTCAAGGAGATGCAGAGAACCAAGCAAAAACCTGATCATGTGACGTTTGTTGGGGTTTTACATGCTTGTAGCCATTCTGGGTTGGTGGAAAAAGGACTGGAGTATTTTGAATCTATGAGCAAGAACTATGGATTGGTTCCTCGTATGGAGCATTATTCTTGTGTTGTAGATATCTTGGGACGAGCGGGCGAGCTCAACAAGATGGAAGATTTCATTAGAAGAATGCCAATGAGCCCTAATATTCTTATTTGGAGAACAGTATTAGTTGCTTGCTGTAGATCGAAAGATGGTGCGAAAAGCAATTTGGGGGAAAAAGCTTCTCAGATGCTTGTAGAACTCGAACCTCAGAATCCAGTAAATTATATACTCTCTTCTAATCTATATGCATTGAGAGGGAGTTGGGAAAATGTAGCAAAATCTCGAGCTGCAATGAGAGGAGTAACAACAAAAAAGGAAGCAGGATGCAGTTGGGTCAATTTAAGGGATGGAGTTCATGTTTTTATGGCTGGAGATAGATTGCATTCTGATACAGAAGAGATATATGCAAAACTACGACTTTTGAATCAAAAGATGAAGGATTTGGGTTATGTTCCTAAGACAGATTTTGCTTTATATGATCTCGAAGTAGAAAACAAAGAGGAGTTGTTGAGTTACCATAGTGAGAAGCTAGCAGTCGCATTTGTTCTTACCCGCTCTTCAGGAAGGATGCCGATAAGAATCATGAAGAATCTTAGGGTTTGTGGGGATTGTCACTCGGCGTTTGGATACATTTCTAAGATTGTTGAACGGCAGATAATTTTAAGGGATAGTAATAGGTTTCATCATTTTGAAGATGGAAAATGTTCCTGTGGGGATTACTGGTAAGTAATTTATTGAAGATTTCCATACAATGAGAGTTAAAAGTAGCATTCAAGTTGTATCAGTGATGCACAATGAGAAAGATACTGAGCTTTTCATAATTTTTTCCAAGGAGTAAACTCTTCTCTAACTTATGGTTGAGAACGATAAAGAATTATCACCATGGAAACATTTGAAATTAATTATTTTAGGAAGAAGATTGATTAAAGACATTATTCTGAATTGAGTGGCATATCAATCATCTAGAACATTTTCAGCTGTATTAAACCAGGTCCTCCTACTTATTTAAGAGTATTCATCTCAGAAGCACTCTTCTCTAAGATCATGAACTTGGTTATTCTGGGCAGGGGCATTTTGTAAACACAATATGATGAAAAGCTATGCTATAATGTAAATGATGTATCCAAGGAAACCCATAGTCAATAGGAAATTTATTCAACAGAGTTCAATGGTATGTATATGCGAGAAATTCCATGTCCTACCCTTGTTGATGATGCTGAATTGTTCCTGGACAAAGGGGCAGCTTGATTTTTCAGTCATGTTTGAGCTATTTTTGACAGTAAGACTAACATCTATTATTCGCCAGTTGGAAGTCTTCTAGCAAGTACTAACTCATCGATTGGTATCTTCTTACAATGATCTGCTGGTTTCTATGTTTGTTTGCGAGTCTAAGGTCCTGCAATTACATTTCTTACTGAGGGTCTGTTGATCTACTTTTGTGCAGATGATCTTGTCCAGTTTAATTATTGTGCAACTTTTGCTGAGAACAAGAGCAGCTGGTTCTTATTCTTCTGTATAGGTACTGATCTTGACCAATAGAACTGTATTGGTACTTTTCATTTCATGTTTAAATAACACAGTTCGTTAAGATATCTGAATTTCTTGAACTTGATTTTGATATCATTTAAAAATATTGAAGTTTTGTTGAGCTGTTTATATTCAAATGCTCCACTTGAATTCAGTTTAATATTCTGTATGATACCTTGGTTCTCTGAAACAACAAATACTTCTGACTTCAGACAGAACAATACGACCCCTATTTGATTACCATTATTGTAGACTGTTGAAAAGGTTATAATAGCTACAGACTAGAGTAATGCATCCCCCCCCCCACACACACACCCACACCACCCACACCCACCCACCTAGTGTAAAATTCTAGCAACCAAGAACTAAGAAAAAAAAATATCCGTAGGAGAGAAATGTAATTTGGTCCTAGATATCGAGACATCCATAATAGAGGTTCAATTTTGATCAGTTACAAAGCTGACTGAATTCAAATCTGAGCATACTCACCTGAAAGCAGAGAAACAAGAAAGCTTTACATTTTTAATACTCATATCAGGAAACATGAAATAAGCTCAAACTAGAATTCATCACAAAGATGATATAGGTTTGAAAAAACTAACTAAACGGTCAAGGGAAAGAGAAGTATCAATCAACCACAACCAAAATTGGAAAGAAGGATCTTCAGCTGCTGAACAAAATCCGACCCCGTTGCGTACTCTGTGAGCAAACCCACAGCAAAACCGAACATCGCCCATCTGCAGAAAACCATCGAACTCAATCTCAAACTAATCAAACATCCAAACTAACGAGAAAATAGAACATAAGTAGAGAGAATTGCCTGCCATTCGCAATTTCATTCTTGGCGATGAAACCGAAGAAGGGGCCTCTGTCGGCAGCCTTCTCGAGCTTCTTCTGCTTAAAATAGTCCTGCAGCTCCTTCGCCACCTTTCGCTGGTACTCCAGAGTCACTCCTGCTACATCTGATTCCGCTGATTTCTTGAGTGGAGACTGAGTCGGAGACGCAACTGGTTTATTGGTGGTCGGAGGGGGAGAAAGTGGAGGTGAAGGTGGAGGGGAGAGAGAAGGAGCTGAAGGCCTCCTCAGAGGCCCATCAGCTTTAGAGCACTTGACCATGGTCGAGTGCTTTAGGGAGAAGATTGAAGGAGTTGGTTTGATTTTGATTGAAGGAATAGAAGAAGATAGCATAGACATTTCTCTTATTGTTTTCTATCCTTTTTTTTTTGCTTGGTTTGGTTCTTCGGGAAGCAAAGGAAGAGGGAGGATTAGGAGGTTTCAATCAGTAAGGAGTGGATAAGATACAGCCAAGTTTCTCATGGAGGGAACTGTGAATATCAATCAAGTTAGGTGTTTGCTTGCTCCTTGCCTTTTTGGAGCCATATTGGCTGGTTAAATATCAAACTAGATTTGTTCACTGCACATGTCGTGATGCAACTAGGGTGTTGTTTGTGGAGGCCTCAAATTTACCCAAAAAAAAAAGAAAATTTCCTCTAAGTAGGGTTTTTTTTTCCTTCTAGAAACCACATTAAAAATATGGTTATTTTATAGAAATCACCTTTCATTTTTAATTTACACGTAAACCATCTTTAAAGTGGTTTTTTATTAAAATCAACCATCTCCCAGCCAAATTTTTCACTGAAAACCCAACAATACACTTTAAAAACTCACATTCAAGACACGTGACTCATTTTGCTAAATGTTTAGGTCTCTCTAGAAGATAAGTCGTTTGCCTTGAACGTGCATCTTTTAAGGTTGTCTTTTGAGTTTTAGTGAAAATTTTACTAGGAGGTACTTGATTAAAATAAAAACCTACTTTAGAGACGGTTTACGTATAAATTGAAAATGAAAAATGGTTTCTATAAAATGATCCTAGTGGTTTTTAGGAAAGGAAAAAAAACCCCTATAATTAACTGGGTTAATTGCACACACATCCTTGCGAGTACAAGAGTTATCACTTATTGTCTCTAACATTTTTTTTATTTGATTCATACCCATCACCTCAGTATTGCATAACAGTTGATGTCTTGTGGGAGATTTCATATATTTTACTGCGTTACAGGCCTCTATTCTCTCAAATGTGTCGGAATATACACCCCTATGATATAGTACAAATATCAAATAACTCTGTTTGGACATCGGAGCATCTTAATGCTAATAAAAAAGTCGAGGATTATAAGTAGCTAAAGTGTTTCTTAATTAATCATAATTAAGTTGATTAGCGGCCCGAGGGCGGAGCGTTGCTCCATGCAAATTAGGAATGAGTGCAATACACGGGGGTATGGTAAGTGTTAGATTTAGATTGTATCATAACCGTCTACTAAATAATTAACGATTGAGATTAAAAGTAGTAGTCTCTCCACTATTTTTTTTGTAGTGGAGAGGATCCAAATCCGTCCTATACTCCCCTTGATGAGCCCCTTGTGAAAGAAGTCGATTGAGCCAAAGCTTGAACTTTTCACCCTAAACCTGGAGTTGCAAAATCAATCCTCAACCAAATAGCTCTCTTTCTAATATAAATTATATTCTACGCAAAGGAGGCTGAGGTCCCACAAGATTAAACACAATAATTTTTGCCTGAAGTAGGCAATTTCGTCACGAGTATAATCCGTAGTAGCTTTTTATGTGCTGGAGATATACAATCGGAGATCTTTACGTAAACTTTTAACCTGCACGTCTCCATCTCAAAGCTTTGGATAAACAACTAAGAATGCGCTCAATAATTTGAGGTCAATTTTGCCTATACTTCATTGCGTAAACCTCAGAATGTTACGGATTTTGAACAAGAAGGGAGTCCATTATCAAAACAATATCTATATGAGATGCACAGTGAAGAAAATCACATACTGAAGTAATACATTGTACTGTGGTATGCGAAAAACAAATGAGAAAAAATTACAAAACCAAAGCAAGAAGATTGATACAACACTCAAAAAATATATATAGGGATAAACCAAGAAGCTGACACTGACAAAATTGGAAGCCTCGAAACAGACAGCAAGTAAGATTGATACACAGCCTGCAACAGATAGAAACCGGAAAATTTTCAAAGAAAGCTAGGAATAGTATCTCGCTCTCCATAACTGCAACCAGTCTGGTAAATGTATTGACACCCAAAGAAAGGCAAATAAGAAGCGTGATAGAACTCTGTGTAGAACCCGGATGAGAGCGCCAAAGGCAATCCTTCAGTTGCGAGAGAACATAAGTCAACTGATACACCAACATGCACGCTTGATCCATTCCTGTGACAGAAATCTATTGAATCACACACTGACATCTTCTAGCCCCCTCATGTTCGAATTCTTCATCTGATGCACCCAACTCACTGTAGTGTAATAAAATTATTTCTTTATATTAGAAATTAATATCAAAATAATCAGGTACAATCCATAGTAAAAAGAAATGGAAAAAAAATGACAAGTACACACTGATAACAAGTTTGATAAAAGCATGTATTCTCTCCCTTGTAATACAGAAACATTCAGACCTTCTGCAGCAGTAAAGAAGCTCTTTCAAGTGCTCAGGTTGATAACCTCCAACAACATTTCTCATTTATGAAGTTTTCTAGTAAAGTTGGCCAATTTGATTAACCGAATAAAGAAAAGGGACCATTTTATCTCTATTTCTATATCTAATTCAACCAGATAAAAGCTTTCACCTTTTGTCATTCATATGGCGTGTTGCTCGGTTTTCAACTGGAAACATATATTGTTTACTAGCATGTCAATGGCATGTGTTGAGTCATTCGACGCGATTAGTCTGTGTCATTAGCAAGGAGCTTAAGTCAAGAAAAGTGATAAAAGGTATCATGGAGAGGAGGCTTGGATTTACAAAAGAACTGTACCACAGTTGGATATGGGACAAGTAATTACAAAGTTCTGGTTACTATCTTTTTCCCCAACAGTGGTTGCAAGTAGATTGTGAACCATAGTCAGAACTAACTGGTAAGATATGATGTAAAATAATATCACATAGAGTGTACTTGCCTTATATAATCACCATCATCTCCAACCCTTTCCCCACCAAGAAAGGGTCAGCTACACAGAGGAAGGTTAGGTTGCATGGGATAGACCAAATTTTGGATTCGGATCAAATCAAAACAGTGCGTCTTTGCAATCCCATTCCAATAACTTGTACAATCGTTAGGAGTCAAACGAAAGAAAATAGGATCAAACAACAGTGTCAAGTCCATTTTTTTAAAACCTGATGAATTTTGTTCGAAGCTTCTGGAAACAACAAAAATCTCATTCTTCTCTTCCTCTCTTTCTCATGTGCCCTAAACAGATTTCCTCTCTCACCTAGTGAATTAAATGTGTCTGTTCTTTTTGTCAAATTTCTTCTTTGAACTCATTTTTGTAACAGTAGCTTTTAGAACTTGGAAGACCTCAGTCACAATGGCTCTCTTTATAAGTAGCCTGTACACGCTAATTTACTACTGATGCTCTTGCACTGTCATTTGGGTAAAGGAAAATATTGGTAGCCATCTGAGCAAGTTTTCCACTTTTGACAAATTAAAATAAATGGCAACGAACACAAACTTTAATACTCTGCCTCTCTTCTTTTGTGTTTTTGACTATTTTCTAGGATGTGTTCTCCCCTTTACCTAAGGATATTGCCATGAGTTAGCAGGCACGAGCAAGTATCGGACGAGAAAAGACACGAAGAGATGGATGAAGGCTTTGGGAAGGGAGAGAGAAGAATTTTTTTCTTTTTCTTGTGGAGATATGAACAGCAGTTCATTTCTATTTTGTTTCTTTTCTTCTGTGGTTGTGGCTGGTCCATCCTGATGAATTTCAAAACTGTGACGGGATTATATGTTTTCAGCAAGGTTAAGAGAGGCATACGGTACAAATGCCATCTGCATGCTACAGGACTTGTTCTATTTAAGTGTGACCCAATTACATGCAACCAAATCCATGAATGATTTGACTAAATTTTACAACCAGCGATCTACCTCATCAACCCAATAAAGTGATGCTAAAACTCCGGAAAAAAGAGAAAAGCTGAGCAGAAGACAAGGACTTCTGATATATTATAAACTACTAATTGGCAGATAGAGATCTATATTATAATTCCACTTTAACATCATGCAACTGGATGGAGTTTCAAATTTTCTCCTAGTGCAGAAGAAGAAAATTTGCATCCAGGGAGGAAGCTCCAAATTTGCCCCAAATTATAATTGCATTTGGTTAAATTTAGCTACCTCGCCCAGCATCGATATTTAAATAATATGACTATACTGGATCTTCAGTTCATTCAGAGATGAAAAGAATCCCTTAGATCACAACTATAAGTGATGCGTCATCTTCCAAAAGCATCTAGGATCTGGTTTACCTTAGGAAAGCGCTGGAAATCACACTTTTGATGCACAAGTTATGTGTGATTAAGGAGGTTGATATTTCTGCCAGACAAAAACAGCAGCAACAGCAAAAACAACAATAAAAGAAATGAAACATTGGCCAAAAATATGTTCCGGGAATATGCTCAACATAGTTCCCGGCTTATCCACAGATTCATAAGCTAAAGTACGCCTAATCACTTCTTGTCATCTAGACTCCTTAAACCGCATAACTAAAGGATAGGTATGTCAACCAGTAATGTAGTCTCAAAGATTCGTTGGATGCACATCCTGATTCTCTAATGCTTGCTTAATGCTAGGCATTAGTCTTGAGAATATTCCTCTCTTGCCAATGTTTGCTTGGTAATTAAACTATTTCAAACAGGTTGAACAGGTTCAGAAGTGGTCATGACACATGAAGCATAGTTAATCACTCAGAGATCCTTCTCAACGATAGTTCTGCTCTACATGGCAAACTCACTTTGATGAGAAAGCCTAAAGTAATGAAGATGATGAGACCGACAATCAGTAAAGAACGATGCTCGTATCTAAAAGATAAGCCATAAGACAAACATATGCTTTTAATGAATAAATTGATAATGTTACCAAACATACTCTATAAACATACATTGGATTATATTTCAGCTTACCCCAGCAAATGAATTTAAACCAGATGCCTAAAACCAAATGATAGGTAGAAATATTGGCATAGTGTACAAACTACAAATCTTAGGGTATAACAAACTACTTAACTTTACCATCTCTCATAGAGGAGCATGGTCAACATCAAAGAGTATCTAAGATTGTAAATTATAAATGGATATCTCTATCCATTTTCCCCCCTAAAATCAAGTAAGATCTAAATTCATTTTTAGAGTGGTGTAATGTACGTTAGTTCTGAAAAGTACTTATGAATTAAAAATCTAAATTCATTTTTAGACCAGTGTAACGTACCTTGGTTCAAATTCCCTTATCTCAGCAAGCTCTTTACCATGTGCATCTGTCCAGTGAATTTTTCTCCTATCGGTACAAGATACGTTGTTTTCCGCCTCTTGCAAAGAATTATCTCTATCCTCACCATTCTCAACTACTAATGAGCAATTTACAGACGACGACTTCTTTAGGCTACTCTTGAGGAACATCTTCACATCGCTCTCATCAGCAGAGTCGCTATTTCTAACCTTATCTCTGTCAGAAGAATCCGATGACCCTGGTGAAGTTTCAGACTTTTGAACAGAACCCAATTTCGAATCTGAAAGTCCATCGGATCCTCTCGACTTGCAACCGAAGCAAATGAAGGAAGTGCATCCACATGAGGGTTGCTTTTTCTTGGAGACTGGCTGTTTTGATCCAACTCCTTGCTCTACCAACTGGTATTGATTCCATGGTGAAACTCTAATGGGTTTTTCTTCGTTTCTTTGGCCCAAGAGTAAAAGGGCAAGCCCTTTGCTATACCCTGATGCAGAAGAAGAGAAGAATCCTCCTCCTTCCACAGCAAACAGCATTGTTGCAGCTCAACCACGCGTCATAAAGAAAATGCCTTCTGCCCTTTTCATCTGGATTAAGAATGCAGACCATTTCCCAGTCAAATTAGCACATTTAGAGAGTTAAAGTGCACACATTTAAATTTAAAGATGCATAATTCATGAATAATTGAAAGAATCGACAGATGACCCATTTAGCTTAGACTTCATTGGCAAATATCTGAGATATACAACTAAGTTATTTGCACAGTTGCATCCTAACTTTAAGCAATGATTTTTTTAATTCATTAAAGGTATGATGTACTCTCAGGAATTGATCTTCTTTCTTGTACTAGAAAAAATTGATGCTACTAAGCTCTGATTATAAAACATCATAAAGATTGCAACTAGCAGACTAAGTTTTATATAAACAAAAGTATAAGCCCCATTAGTTCTTAATTAACATAAAGATTGCAACTAGCAGACTAAGTTTTATATAAACAAAAGTATAAGCCCCATTAGTTCTTAATTAAATTAGTTAAATCAGAAAACAGACTAAGTTTTATATAAACAAAAGTATAAGCCCCATTAGTTCTTAATTAAATTAGTTAAATCAGAAAATATGGCAACTTTCAATTAACATTACGCTTCATAATTAACAAAAAAAAATTGTCAAAGAATATGCCAACATTGTTAGAAGGAGATCCATTAATTTATTAATATATCAAAGTGAGAGAAAAAATGAGGAAGTATCAAATTTCCCAAATTGTAGCTAATTAAATAACCTAAACTATCAAAAAATGATATCGCCAAAAGAATTCAGATCCCCAAATCCTGATTCCAACTAATAAGCTAAAAGAGCCATTGGAAGGGATTAAAACCCTAAATCACAGAAATCCCCTCACAAGATGTAAAACTATAGACAGCGACCTCATTAACAAACTGAAACCTAGATCTCAGAATAATTCAAGAAAATAAAATAAAAATAAATTGCACGCTAAACAAAATACAGATTTTCACTAAGTAAAACCTAAGCAAATTTTAGAAAAATAAACAAATAAATAGATAAGAATCGAGAAGAGATCAGGGACCTGAAAGAAATTTCGGGATCCCACGAGGACTAATCCGAAAACTTAACCATCAACCGCCAGCGCAGTAAGCGTCGAGATCCCGCGGAGGAATTGCGGCGTCGATCGGCGAGGAGCTGGGCTTTGACTTCGGCAGACTCCGGTCAATTCAAAGAGGCCTAAAAAAGTACTGGAACCAATTTTGTTTTCTTTTAAAATTAAAAGAAAATAAAATAAGGCCGCGCCTATTCCAAAGAGTTTTTATCGCCGTACAGGTGTGCTTGGAGATTCGTGTGGAGCGAGATCTTACGGGGTGGGTCAGGTGTCAGGCCGCTTTAGGGAGCCAGGCTGTTTCATTGTGGGCTTTTTTGGTGCGTTATTATGAACAGTGTTAGCTGTTGGGCACAGGGAAACTGAGTTTAGGGTCGATATATTCAAATTCATAAGGGCCCTTTCGCTTTTATGCAATGTGATGGTGCATTATTGAATGCGTCTTTTTCTAGATGGTGCTTTTTTTTTTTAATGGTTGAAGAAACACGATTGAAAACATTAAAAATGACATATTTTATCTCGATGATATAGTCGTTATGATCTTTTAAAATTTTTTTTACTAAAACATATGTCACTAGTTGGAGTAATTTGACAAATGAGATAGGCCTCATTTACTGGGAACATTATTCATCTCTCATCTATATCTATATATATACTACTTTAAAAAGAAGATTTGAGTGTTAATTTTTTTTTTCCCTCTTAAATTTTAATAAATTTTAACTATACTATTACCTCTAATTAATCTTTCATTAAATAAGTATAATATTTTATTAATTATATACCTCCTCATCCTCCTAAATAATTATAATTATCAATAATATTATAACTATTAATTATTTAAAAATACTAAAATAATATAATTTATAAAATAAGTAATACATAATTATTATATAATAACCAGTTAAATTATTATAATAATTATTTACAAATTATAATAAAAATTAAAATAATAGTAAAATAGAACAATATATTACTATATACTATTAAGAATTATACTATAATTAAATGAGCAATAAAATAAATAGAATAAATTTTAAATCACATAAATAGTGTAACAATTTTAATAATATTAGGTAAATTACGAATTACACTATTTTTAAATAAAATAAATAAATAATTTAATATTAATTTTAGAGTATTTTCTTAAAGATTATTACATGATACTGAATAATCTATACTTGGCAATGATTGAAAACTAACCTTTTTATAAAAAAAATTATTTAATATTAATAATAGTACTATTAATTGTTAATGATAGTTTAATAAAATTTTATGAAATATTTAAAGTACTAAATTATTTAAGAGCATAGTTAAAAAATCAAATTAGATAAATATTTTAATAGTATACAATATAATTATTTTAATAGTATAATTTAAACTAAGAATTATAATATTAAATAAGGTAAACTACAGTAAGCCCTCATGAACTTTCAGCATTTTGCAATAAATGAACCTTATGAACTTATAAAATCATACTAAACCTGTAACAACTTTGTAGAAAGCCCCCAATGTCTTTTAGATAAATTACACCAAACCCCCAATAACTTTCAAAATGTCTTTTATGCCATTTTTGGCTATTTTCTGGTTCTAATTCATAGGGGTTATTTGTAAAATTTAGAAATTTGTTAAAGATCTTCTTTGAAACATGAAAGTCATTAGGGTTTTAGTGTAATTCTGAAAGTTCATATAGGCTAAAAGTTTATAAGGTTTAGTATAATTTATCCTATTAAATAATTATAATGAGAAGTAACTATTGCAATATGTTATGGGTATCAAGTGTAACTATCTAGGGAATATTAGGAAAAAACCTAGCAATATTAATACAGCTTAGTTAATTTAGAGTCAAGTTAACAACTTTTAAGTTAGAGTGACATATTTAAGAGAACTTATAGAATTTACAGTTTTATTTAAGAACAATTTTAGACTTGGAGACTTATTTAAAAAGGATTAACACTAGGTGATCATTATAAGAAAAACATTACTACACAATAATAATTAATTCATGCATTTATTTTTAAGCCATATTATAATACAATTTTATTTAATAACAAGTAATTTTACTATTCAAAAAAAAATTCAAAACTTAAAATATGTAAATTCAGTGAAAAGCACGTTCATTATATTAGTTCTATTAAAAATATTTTTCATCTACTTTATCTTATAAAGTGTTGTTCTAAAACGATTGTGTCAGAATTCCACGGGTGTAGTATTAATAAATAATAAGCAACCTCAGTTCCTCTCGCTCCTTTTCTTTCTTCTCTAAACTTACAAAAAAAATTACCTTGCTATGTTTTCTATGCATTATACGAGTAACAAACTAATACATAAGTATAATCGGGACAAAAAGAAGAATGAAATATGAAGTAGATTAAACAGAAAATTGATATTTAAAATGTCTGCTTAATATTCCTGTACAAACTTATTGTCCAATACTAGGAACTGTTTACTCACACACTCACATCAATATGTAAAATAATATTTTCAAATGGATATCCCAACTAATTTAGATTAGGTAAAGAAATCATCTTTATGCCACTTTCTCTACATGTAAACTTCAGCCAAAATATCAATTTAGCCTATAAAGTGACACACTCTGACCAATAAAGTCTAAAAAGTAACGTCGGCGACAATAATAACTATAAATTGACACAATTAACCACTTAAACCTACTCCAGTCGCCGGAATTTTGATTTGTGCAAGAAAACTATGAAACTTTGCATATATATCCCTCATATCTCTCACACTTACAAAGTTATTCTCAAAATTAAAATATTTGCATAAAAACCTACTCTCTCTTCTTCTTTTTTTCAACCTCTCTCTCCCAACTATCCTCACTTTCCACCTCTACTTCCTCCACTCCCTTCTCCACTTTTTAAGTTAGTGTTTGAGGGGAGAGAGGAGAGAAAGGAAAAGAGAGAAGGGAAAGTAGGAGAAGACAGAGATGAGAGAATAGAGAGAGGGTAAGAGGAGGAACAAGGGTGGAGGAGGGAGAGGAGGAGGTGAATGTGAGAATTTTAGGAAGGAGGAAAGAGGAGAGGGAGTAAGAAATGAGAGAAAAATAGGATGAAGCAGATGGTGGAGATAGGGAGGGAAGGAGGGGGGAAGGGAGGGACGAAGGGAGAATTTTGGTAAGGAAAAAATGAGGGAGGAAGTATTTTGGGAAGGAGGAAAGTGGAGATAATAAGATAGAGGAGAGAAGAGGAGGATGAAGGAGATGATGGTGGGAGAGAGAGATGGGGAGAGAGAGGGAGAGAGAGAGAGAGAGAGAGAGAGAGAGAGAGGAGGATGAAGGAGATGATGGTGGGAGAGAGAGAGGGGGAGAGAGAGGGAGAGAGAGAGAGAGAGAGAGAGAGAGAGAGAGTTGGATGAAGGAGATGAAGATGGAAGAGAGAGATGGGGGGGAGAGGGGGAGAGAGAGAGAGAAGCTCAACTCACACAGGATTTGCGATAGCTATCACTCTGTTAATTTGTTGTAACAATATTTGTTAACTAGTTGTAACAATCATATTATGATGCTTTGATCATGGAACACCAGATGTAATCACTCAAAAAGTTTGGATTGTGAAGCACTGCTAAAGGAGTAGACCATACTTCGTTTGTCTCTAGCCATGTTCTTTATATTGACAGCATTACCTTTTTATTTTGTCCTGTGTAATTTATATGTTTATAACAACTAATATTTTAGTCCGCACGCAAGCATGATCATGCCTCACTGATTCAATATCTCTTTTTACAAAAAGATTCTTAAAGACTCATATTCATATTCCAATGGCTAACTTATAATAGTATCATTATCCTATTCAAAGTTATAAACACGAATTTACACCAATTAATAAATTTCTTAAAACTAATCCTATATTGTTCAACTTTCTTATATTAAGAACATATTTAATGTAATCATAAACATCTTACTGTTTTGACAGTATTACTATAAAACTAATCCTATATTGTTCAACTATCTTATATTAAGAACATATTGTTCAACTTTCTTAAAACTAATCCTATATTGTTCAACTTTCTTATATTAAGAACATATTTAATGTAATCATAAACATCTTACCGTTTTGACAATATTACTATAAATTGTAAGAAATTGTAATCTAAATAAATATAGAGCACGCAACGGAGGTAAATTAAATTAAAAGATAAATCTAGCCATTGTTGTCTAGATAGATCTGTAACTCAGAAAATTAGATCGAAAATAGAGATAACCTGAGTATATACATAAGAGATAACCTGAGTATATACATAAACAAATAACAACAGTTAGATCACCGTTAGAATAAATAAAATAAAGAAAAGAGAGAATTTTTAGCCTATGCCACCGAAAAGCCTAAATCTGATGAAGAAACTATGCCCGTATTTATGGGCTAGGCTAGGACCCTTCTGCTATAATTAGAATTCTTAAAAGATAAAACTTCTTAAAACTATCTAGATATGATCTTATCTAAATCCACTATAACTCCTTATAAGATAACAATTTAAATACCATAACAAAGTATCTTAATTTGTATCGAGTAGGTCCAAACTTTATATGGATACAACATAAATTTCATAACAGATTTATTATGATAACAATGAGTAGTGTTGACTTAAAAATTAAAGTAAGAAGATAAATGTGAAGGACAAAGAGGGAGGAACTCACCTGTCGTGGGCTTCCAAGGGAGAAATAAAAGAAAGAATTGATTAGAGGGGAACAACCTCTATAAACTTGATAAATACTTAAAAGCACCTGAATTTAATCAGGTATCTGACAATCGTGACACATTGTATACCACATTAATATTTACTTCACAGCAAAGTAAATTAGGGTCTCGAACAATTTTGACCTTGAAGGAAATCGTGCTATGTCTACATGCATAATACACAGCGGAAGACATGTATGTACAAAAATACTAAGCATGTAGAGAGCATGAAATATTCATATGGATCGTCTAATTAAATCTAACATGATCCTTATTATTAAGTGAGCATACAAGAGTTAGAAAGTCATACTTTCGTAGCGTGATTCGATGGAAGATCGAATAACCCCTAGCTCTTGCTCCTTGTAGTAGAAAATCTCCTTGTAGTGGATCTCCAAGTCTTCAAGTGAGCTTGATAAAATGGGAGTCTTCTTAAGACACAAGGCAAGATATCCACCCCGGGGTTCTTAAAAC